TAATACAGTAGACCACCATTGAAGAATTGCTGCACAATTTTATGTAACACGTCATATAATTAATTTAACATGGATCAGTTTGTGGGAAGGAAAACAAAAATTCTATTTTGCTCAAGCAGCCGCTTTGTTGTGGAGCATCTGGGGAGCCATCCCCTTCCACTCCCCGACACCACCCCACAATCCCAGCATTCGTAATTCATACGTGTCCAGTCTTTCTCTGCTACAAGGCAGCTGTGTTATATTTTAATTACTATATCTTGTATCTGCCAAGCAAACATGACACCCAGTAGCTATGCTAATGTTGCTGAAAGTGGCATGAAGAGGTATAAGCACTTAAGTCTTAGAATTAACAAAGATATTAGACAAGAGATAACCTGTAGCTGTAACTGAAGTGTTACTTTGTACACAGAAAAAGAGGTTAACATGAGTTTGTGTGACTGAATGACTGACTTACTGAATGACTGACTGAACTGACTGACTTACTGAGTGACTAGACTGACTTACTGAGTGACTAGACTGACTTACTGAATGACTTGACTGACTTACTGAATGACTTGACTGACTTACTGAATGACTTGACTGACTGATTGAACTGACTGACTTACTGAGTGACTAACTGAGTGACTAGACTGACTTACTGAGTGACTAGACTGACTTACTGAATGACTTGATTGACTTACTGAATGACTTGACTGACTTACTGAATGACTTGACTGACTTATTGAATGACTTGACTGACTGACTTACTGACTGACTTACTGACTTACTGACTGACTTGGTGGACTTACTGAGTGACTTGACTGTAGTAATATTATATTATTATTATTGATGAAAAGAAAAAGAGAATGATTTCCATGGAATTAATGCATGAAATCATAGATAAACAAGCGAGGTGTCCAGGTATGGGTTGAGGGGGAAGAGGGAGGGGGAAGCTGGCTCATAACTCAAATGTTGGCTTGTAACTCAGAGCAAAAATTGACCATGGACGGCTCGTATCTCAAAAAACTCGTAAGTTGGGACACTCGTAAGTCAGGGTTCCACTGCACGTATAAAGATACACAACATATCCTTCCAAACTGCCAATATCCCAAACCCCTCCTTTAAAGTGCAGGCATTGTACTTCCCATTTCCAGGACTCAAGTCCAGCTATATAAAAATAACCAGTTTCCCTGAATCCCTTCACTAAATATTACCCTGCTCACACTCCAACAGCTCATCAGGTCCCAAATACCATTCTTCTCCATTCACTCCTATCTAACACGCTCACACACGCTGGCTGGAAGTCCAAGCCCCTCGCCCACAAAACCTCCTTTACCCCCTCCCTCCAACCTTTTCGAGGATGACCCCTACCCCGCCTTCCTTCCCCTACAGATTTATACGCTCTCCATGTCATTCCACTTTGATCCATTGTCTCTGAATGACCAAACCACCTCAACAACCCCTCTTCAGCCCTCTAACTAATACTTTTATTAACCCTTTGACCGTTTCGGTCATATATACAGTGGACCCCTGACATTCGATGGCATCAACATTCGATGCATTTTAACGCAAAAATTTCGCCTTGACATTCGATGGAAAACCCGACATTCGATACGATTTGTATGAGATGTGTCGACGTGTGGCCTGAACTGCCCCGTGTGTGCCAGTGTTTACAAGCCAGCCAGTGTGTGCGCATCTAAGGATACATTCGGTACATTCCATATTATCCATATTATCACTGTTTTGGTGCTTGTTTCTGCAAAATAAGTAACCATGGGCCCCAAGAAAGCTTCTAGTGCCAACCCTTCGAGACAAAAGGTGCTAATGACTATTGAAATGAAGAAAGAGATAATTGCAAAGTACGAAAGTGGAGTGCGTGTGTCGGAGTGCATGATGATTTGGTAAAGAAATTGCCTGCAACTAGTGGTGATGTGAGTGAAGTTAAGGCCAGCAAAGGTTGGTTTGAAAGATTTAAGAATCGTAGTGGCATACAGTGTGGTAAGGCATGGTGAGGCTGCCAGTTCAAGTCCTAATGGAAGGGGATTCCCCTTCTAAACACTAACACCATCCACACTCTCCCCTCCTCCCATCCCATCAATCATCACCAGATCTTCATTAAAGGTAAGTGTCAATTATTCTATTGTTATTAATGTATTGTTATTGTTGTTGTTGTAATTATTCTATTGCATTAAACTTAATATTTCATGTGGTAAATTTTTTTTTTCATACTTTTGGGTGTCTCACACGGATTAATTTGATTTCCATTATTTCTTATGGGGAAAATTAATTCGACTTTAGATATTTTCGACATTCGATAGCTCTCAGGAACGGATTAGTATCAAATGTTGAGGGTCCACTGTATTCGTATTACGAACCACCGTGTTTAACGTATATGCACTCAAAAATTCTAGCGGCTTCAAATCAAGCAGGAGAAAGCTGGTAGGCCCACATATGAGAGAATGGGTCTGTGTGGTCAGTGTGCACGATATAAAAAAAATCCTGCAGCACGCTGTGCATAATGAGAAAAAAAAACTGACCGTCTTTTTGCATTAAAATGCCGAATTTGAGGTGTATTTTCATATAGTTTTTATGGTTAAATTCTCGTTTTCATAGTCACATTTGATAGACTGCAAAACATATTGTAGAACTAGAGGTGATTTTGATTGGTTTTACTATGAAAAGAACCCTGAAATGGAGCTCAAAGTAGGGGAAATGTTTGATTTTTGCTGATGTTCAAGAGTAAACAAATAATGTCATTGTCCCATAAATGTCCAACTAGCCAATCTAATATGCAGTCATGAATGAGTTGATGTTAATTATACAATTATTACAACATTGCATTAGTCTGCATAGTAGTAAATCTATTTTTTGTTTGAATAAAAATTCAAAATAGAAAGCAAGAGTAATATCAGAGGGGCCTGGAGATGTGACTGATGAACAAAGAAAATGTTATTTTAGAGCCAGGAATGTCTGCATTGTTCATTCTGGACCTTATTTTGAAATTGGCATATTTTTTGATTTGCATGAAATTGGCCAAATTGCCAAATTCTGACCACTTTATTGGGTACTTGAAATCGGTAAATGGGCAGTTTCTTGTACTCAGTAGATAGAACAAATGGAGTTCTAAAGAAATAGTTATGAGTTTGGTCAACTGAAACAATGGAATTAGCTGAAAATAGGGCTCAAAGTGGGCAAAATCGCTGATTCGTAAATATCGCTGAGGTTGCTAACTTCGCAAGAGCGTAATTCCGTAAGTTTTCCATCAAATTTCGTAATTTTGGTGTCATTACCATCGGGAAAAGATTCTCTATCATTTCATAAGATTTTTTTTTTTTTCCCCAAATATTTTGTGACACCAGGAGACACCTCAGGATTTGGGGGTTTCGACAGTCAAAGGGGTTAACTCCACACCTAATTTCCACACTACAAATTTTGTGCATAATATTTACACCACACATTGCCCTTAGACAGGACATCTCCACTGCCTCCAACTGTCTCATCACAGCAGCATCTACAACCCAAGCTTCACACCCATATAAGAGTGTTGGTACCACTATACTTTCATACATTCCCTTCTTTGCCTCCATAGATAACTCTTTTTGTTTCCACATATACCTCAATGCACCACTCACCTTTTTTCCTTCATCAATTCTATGATTAACCTCATCTTTCATAAACCCATCTGCTGACACATCAACTCCCAAATATCTGAAAACTTTCAATTCTTCCATACTCCTCTCCAATGTGATATCCAATTTTTCTATATATAAATCATTTGATACCCTCATCACCTTACTCTTTTCTATGTTCACTTTCAACTTGCTACCTTTACACACACTCCCAAACTCGTCCACTAACCTTTGCACTTTTTCTTTAGAATCTCCCATAAGTACAGTATCATCAGCAAAAAGTAACTGTGTCAATTCCCATTTTGTATTTGATTCCCCATAATTTAATCCCACCCCTCTCCTGAGCACCCTAGCATTTACTTCTTTTATGACCCCATCTATAAATATATTAAACAACCATGGTGACATTACACATCCCTGTCTAAGACCTACTTTTACCGGGAAGTAGTCTCCCTCTCTTCTACACACCCTAACCTGAGCCTCACTATCCTCATAAAAACTCTTTACAGTCAGAGGGCTAGAGAGGAGTTGTTGAGGAGGTTTGGTCATTTAGAGAGAATGGATCAAAGTAGAATGACATGGAGAGCATATAAATCTGTTGGGGAAGGAAGGAGGGGTAGGGGTTGTCCTCGAAAAGGTTGGAAGGAGGGGGTAAAGGATGTTTTGTGGGCGAGGGGCTTGGACTTCCAGCAAGCATGTGTGAGCGTGTTAGATAGGAATGAATGGAGACGAATGGTTTTAGGGACCTATTGAAAAAAAAACAAAAAAAATTGACTCAGGCTTTGGCTGCCTTGCTGTGTACTTCGACCCACGAAGGATCAGTGAATAGTTAGGTAAATTTTTGAGTCAGACCATTGGACTGTTTCAAATGGTTGAGATATGCCTTTGTAACATGTAGAGAGAATGGAGCGAAACAGAATGACTTCAAGAGTGTATCAGTCTGTAGTGGAAGGAAGGCGGGGTAGGGGTCGGCCTAGGAAAGGTTGGAGAGAGGGGGTAAAGGAGGTTTTGTGTGCGAGGGGCTTGGACTTCCAGCAGGCATGCGTGAGCGTGTTTGATAGGAGTGAATGGAGACAAATGGTTTTTAATACTTGACGTGCTGTTGGAGTGTGAGCAAAGTAACATTTATGAAGGGGTTCAGGGAAACCGGCAGGCCGGACTTGAGTCCTGGAGATGGGAAGTACAGTGCCTGCACTCTGAAGGAGGGGTGTTAATGTTGCAGTTTAAAAACTGTAGTGTAAAGCACCCTTCTGGCAAGACAGTGATGGAGTGAATGATGGTGAAAGTTTTTCTTTTTCGGGCCACCCTGCCTTGGTGGGAATCGGCCGGTGTGATAATAAAAAAAAAAAAATCTCTATTTGAAATTATAATATGCATTAATTTTCAGGCAAGAGTGAAGATTATGTGGACGATGAAGACATGCAGGCAACAGTTGAAGTTGAAATGGCAGAAGATGACGACGATGACGATGATGATGACGAAGAAGAGGACGAGCCAGAAGCTCTTCGACAATCTCATTCTCACTCTCAGCCACCACCGCCTCCCATACCGGAGACTCAACCCTTACCCCAGCCACCACCAAGTTTAGTGAAGTCATCCACATCTATGCCACAATTACCACCATCTTTATCCCAATCATCAGCATCTCTGCATCAGTCATCATCCTCTGTTCCACTGCCAGTGCAGCCAATACCACAGTCCCTAAATGTCATACCACAGTTATCTCTGAAACCTACTCCACTTCCTGAAGTCTCACCTTCACAGAAGCCACCACCCCTGCACACTCATGATCCTCAGAAACCAAAATCTTCAGCACAACCACTGGATGTGTAAGTATTACGTTTCTCAATACAGCTAGTGGATGTGTGGGCTCTACATTTGCAGTATCTAGAACACCTTGTAGATGTGTAAGCATTGTATTTCTGCAGCACTTTATGTAATTAGGCATTACATTTCTTGAGCTGCTAAGAATACCCACCTTTAACCCCTTAACCCTTAAACTGTCTAAACGTAGATCTACGTTTGTGTGTGTAGCACTCTGAACGTAGATCTACGTTTTATTTTTCATTCCTTCAAATTTGGCACAATAGGCTTGAGTCGCCTTGACATGAAAGAATGGGTTTGTGCACTCAGTGTGCTCAGTATTAAAAAAAATCTGGGAGCACTTAGTACCTTGTGGTAGCACCAGTTCAATTGAGCGCCAGCTAGAGCAAATAGCATGGCAAACACCAGGGATTCACTGATGCCATGTTGCATTAACACTCCCATTTTAAGAGGGAAGTAAAATAAAAATAGGTTTGATAAATATATGAGTGAGTGGGTGGGTGTGAGTTGGGTCTTACTAGCTTGTGCTACTAGGTCTGGTGCCATGCTCCTTCCTTCAATGGATGTGACCTGACTAGGTGGGTCATTGGTCTAAGCCAGGGGGGATTGACATAGCCCTGCCTTGCATGGGCCAGTAGGCTTGCTGCAGTGTTCCTTCTTTTTTGTGTTCTTATATATTTGGCAGGCTGGCCAGCTGGCTGGCTTGGGCTCTGTCTCTTTCTATATCTATGTCTGTCTATATCTCTGTCTTTCTATATCTCTGTCTCACATGTACACAAGTACAGTTATTATACATAGTGTAAATTACCTAGGATAACCCAAAAATTCCAGGCAAAGATAGACAGATAGATAGACAAAGAAAGATAGACAGACAAACATGTTTGTGTGTATCAGTGAGAACAAAATCAGGGTTGTGATGAATGATTTTGAAAATCGACAACTTGAAGAATTGAGACACTTATGCAACATATGGGAATCTTTATTGAACAAACGTTTTGCCACACAGTGGCTTCATCAGTCCAATACAAAGTAGAAATGGGCAAGGAGAGGAGGAGTTTGAGGTAATCAGTCCCTCAACCTGGAATTGATGTGTTCAGTCCATCACTCTTGCAGGAAGTACAGCATAGGGCCAGAGAGGTGGCTTATAATGTATACTGCAGTCAGACGAGTCAAAGCAGGAGGAGGCGGGATCACATCTCCTTACCCATTTCTACTTTGTATTGGACTGATGAAGCCACTGTGTGGCGAAACGTTTCTTCAATAAAGATTCTCATATGTTGCATAAGTGTCTGAATTCTTCAAGTTGTCGGTTTTCAAAACCATTCATCACATCTGTCAGACACTGCAACATCATGGGATCTTGGTACAAAGACTTCAATGCTTGTCCAACCTTACTTCGACGACCTACTTACACTAGTGGCAGGTCCCACTGTGATCCCACCTCCTCCTGTTTCGACTCATTTGACTGCAGTATATAAGCCACCTCTCTGGCCCTGTGCTGTACTTCCTGCAAGAGTGATGGACTGAACACATCGATTCCAGGTTGAAGGACTGATTACCTCAAACTCCTCCTCTCTTTACCCATTTCTACTTTGTATTGGACTGATGAAGCCACTTGTGTGGCAAAACGTTTCTTCAATAAAGATTCCCATATGTTGCATAAGTGTCTCAATTCTTCAAAATCAGGGTTCCCCGAGTGCCCATTTATCAAATGCCACTGGGCTGTCAACACATGTTTCATATATTTATACTCCAGGCAGACAGATAAGAAGAGACAAACAGGCAGACAGACAGATAGACAGACAGATAGATAGACAAACAAACATGTTTGTGTGTAACTGTAATAACAAATATAGCGAGGGTTAGCAAATACATTAGCGAGTGTGGGTGGGTGTGAGTTGGACCTGACTAGCTTGTGCTACTAGGTCTCATGTCGTGCTCCTTCCTTCAGTGGATGTGACCTGACTAGGTGGTGGGTCATTGGTCTAAGCTGTGGGGGGGGGGCGCATGGACCTGCCATGCATGGGCCAGTAGGCCTGCCGCAGTGTTCCTTCTTTCTTATGTTCTTATGTATTCGGCAGGCTGGCCGGCTGGCTGGCTGACTGGCCGGCTGGCTTTGGCTGGCTTTGGCTGTCTCTGTCTATATCTCTGTATCTGTGTCTCTCACATGCACACATAAATACAGTTATTATACATAGTGTAAATTACCTAAGATAACCCAAAAATTCCAGGCAAAGATAGATAGACAGGCAGACAGACAAACATGTTTGTGTGTATCATTGAAAACAAATATAGCCAGGGCTCCCCAAGTGCCCATTTATCAACTGTCACTGGGCTGTCAACAGATGTCATAACACCATTCTTCGAGGAATTTCATATACTGTACTCCAGGCAGACAGAAAGACAGATAAGCAGAGGCAGACAGACAGACAGACAGATACAGACAGACAGACAAATAGACAGAGAGACAAGACATGTTTGTGTGTAACAATGATAAGAAATACAGCGAGGGTTATTTGGAGCAGTGGGCATATATCAAATGTCACTGGGCTGTCAACAGTATAGGGATGCCTTTCATAACAACATGCTTCAAGGTATATGCCAGGGTATCTAAAACATTGCTGGGACCTACAAATACTTTGTATATATTTCTAGACAATAGTAAATAACCCAGGCAGGGGTAAATGTTCACCTCTCAATGTGATTGTGACTATTTGAGCACTATTTCTGTACCTAATATTAGTGTCAAAACAAAGATTGGCTATGAAATCATAAGAACTATTATAGTGTAAATTGTAATTATCAGAACATAAAAAATATATAAATTAAAATAAAAACAAGAAAAAAAGGTATATCGGCAACACTTCTGCAAGTGGCAGGAGTCGATGTTGCCATCAGCTGAGCATCCAGAGCCAATTTCGCGATCTTATATATCGGTAAGTAGTGACCCTAAAAAAAATTTTTTAATCCTATAACGTGTAGAAAAATGTGAGGCTCAGGTTAGGGTGTGTAGGAGAGAGGGAGATTAATTCCCAGTAAAAGTAGGTCTTAGACAGGGATGTGTAATGTCACCATGGTTGTTTAATATATTTATAGATGGGATTGTAAAAAAGTAAATGCTAGGATGTTGGGGAGAGGGGTGGCATTAAATTATAGGGAATCAAATACAAAATGGGAGTTGACACAGTTACTTTTTGCTGATGATACTGTGCTTATGGGAGATTCTAGAGAAAAGTTGCAAAGGTTAGTGGAAGAGTTTGGGATGGTGTGTAAAGGTAGAAAGTTGAAAGTGAACATAGATAAGAGTAAGGTGATGAGGATATCAAAGGATATAGATAAAGAAAAATTGGATATCACATTGGAGAGAGGGGTATGGAAGAAGTGAATGTTTTCAGATATTTGGGAGTTGACTTGTAAGCAGATGGGTTTATGGAGGATGAGGTTAACCATAGAAATGATGAAGGAAAAAAGGCAAGTGGTGCATTGAGGTATCTGTGGAGACAAAAAAAAACGTTATCCATGGAGACAAAGAAGGAAATGTACGAAAGTATAGTGGTACCAACACTCTTATATGGGTGTGAAGCTTGGGTTGTAAATGCTGCAGCAAGGAGGTGGCTGGAGGCAGTGGAGATGTCCTGTCTAAGGGCAGTGTGTGGTATAAATATGCACAAAATTCGGAGTGTGGAAATTAGGAGGAGGTGTGGAGTTACTAAAGTATTAGTCAGAGGGGTGAAGAGGGGTTGTTGAGGTGGTTTGGTCATTTAGAGAGTATGGATCAAAGTTGAATGACTTGGAGAGCGTATAAATCTGTAGGGAAAGGAAGGCGGGGTAGGGGTTGTCCTCAAAAAGGTTTTAGGGCAGGGGTAAAGGATGTTTTGTGGGCAAGGGGCTTGGACTTCCAGCAAGCATGTGTGAGCATGTTAGATAGGAGTGAATGGAGACGAATGGTTTTTGGGACCTGACGAGCTGTTGGAGTGTGAGCAGGGTAATATTTAGTGAAGGGATTCAGGGAAACTGGTTATTTTTATATAGCCAGACTTGAGTACTGGAAATGGGAAGCACAATGCCTGCACTTTAACCCTTTTAGGGTTTCCGACAAGAGAAAGCTGGTAGGCCTACATATGAAAGAATGGGTCTATGTGGTCAGTGTGCACAGTATAAAAAATATCCTGCAGCACACAGTGCATAATGAAAAAAAAAAAAACTTTGACCATGTTTTTGGTTTAAAACAGCGACTTTGTACAGTATTTTCGTAAGGTATTTATGGTTGTATTATAGTTTTCCTGGTCTCATTTTATAGAATGGAAGACATATTACAGAAATTGACATTATTTTGATTGGTTTCACAATGAAAAGTACCTTGAAATTGAGCTCAGAATAGCAGAAATTTTCGATTTTTGCCAAAGTTCAAAAGTAAACAAATCATGCCATGCGTCCAATGCACATCAACTGGTGAGACTAATATTCTTTCACAATTGCGCTGATATTATTTATACCATTTCTACACTAATGCAGTAGTCTGCATAACAGTAAATCTTTATTTTTTGTGAGAATAAAAATTCAAAGCAAAGTGGAAAGCAAAGGAAATGTAAGAGGGGCCTGGGGACATGACTAATGAATAGAGGAAATATTATTTTAGTGCCAGGAATGTGTCTTGTTTATTCTGGACCCTATTTGGAAATTGGCATTTTTGAAATTTGTGTGAAATTTTCAAAATTGCTAATTTCTGACCACTTTATTGGATAATTGTAATCGGTAAATGGGTGGTTTCTTGTGCTCATTCGATAGAAAAAAATGGAGTTCTAGCGAAATAGTTATGATTTTTGTCGACTAGTACACAGGAATTGGTCGAAAATAGAACTCATAGTGGGCAAAATCGCCAACATGTGAACATCGTTGAGACCGCTAACTTCACGAGAGCATAATTCTGTAAGTCAAATTTCATACTTTTGGTGTCGTTATGATCGGGAAAAGATTCTCTATCTTTTCATAAGAAAAAAATTTTTTTTTTTTCCAAAAAATTTTTGACCCAGAGAACAAGTTTAGGAGAGGGCTTCTTGACCCTGAAAGGGTTAAAGGAGGGGTTTGGGATATTGGCAGTTTGGAGGGGTATGTTATATATGTTTCTAAACTGTTGTGTCTGGGTGCCTCTGCAAAGACAATGATTGTGTGAGTGAGGTGAAAGTGTTGAATGATGATGAAAGTAATTTCTTTTCGGTTTCAATGGTTCTGACCAGAGCTTTGGTAAGATGGGAGGGAGGAAGAAGGATGGGTAAGGATGGAATGTAGGAAAGGTTGGGGAGGGAGGAGGGGTATGTGGGGTTATAAAAGGGAAGTGGCCTATCCACTTTGGTGTAATTTGAATATGCGTGTGAGCATATTGAGTAATTTGTAAAGAGGTTGGTTTTATGAGTGGGGGTATACCTCCTGCCCATCAGTTGCACACTGCTATATTGTTGTTATACCAGTGCGTCAATGAATTGGAAGGATGCATACTGCTTACAATTGTTTTTTTTTTTTTTTTTTCTCAAGAGGTTGGTCAGAAGGGCACAGCTGCAGGCGGAGGTTGGTAGCTCACCTGGAGTTGGCCGGCAAGGCAGTGATTGAGGTGGTGTCCTACTGGAGGGTAGTTGTAGGTGCAACAAGGTTAGTTGTGCAGTGTAGGTTGATAGAAGTGGGTCACCCGGAGATGGGGAGCATTAGTCCGTGTTACTGGACGTAGAATGGTTCCGGAAGTATTCAATCATCTTCTGCGGGGAGGTCGCTTAAGATTTTCGGTCGAGGGAAGTTCTTGTGGATGAAGCGTCGAACTCTTTGTTGGAGGGTCATTCTTTGGGATCTGTGGGGAGGGGTGGTGATGGTATAGTCGGTCGTGTTCACTGGTTGAGGGGGGTTCTCTCTGTCGGGCACATAAAGTTCCTGCATGTCATATAGTTGTCTCTTAGTAAGTTTGTCTAACCAGACATTGATTGTGGGGATTCTCTGTTGCATGTGTAGGTCCTCTGACCTGATTCTGTCTCTGAGTCTGGTGTTGGTGATGAAGCAGAGGGCTTTGTTTTGGACTCTTTGGAGTTTTAGCATGTTGGTTTTGGTTGTGAGCAACATGGGTACACAGGGGTATTCCAGCAGAGGTCTGATCATCATCTTGTACAGGTGTAGTTTGATGTGGGGAGGGGCTGCTTTGAATCAGTAAAGTTGGCCAAGGCGGGCTTTCGCTAGGTTTACTTTTTTGGTTATGTGGGTTGTAGAGTTGAGTAATCTGCCGATCTCGTATCCTAGGATCTTGTTTGGATTCCTAATAGCAATTTAGGTGCCTCTGATGGAAATGCCCCCTTTGTCTTCTATGGTTGATGGCAAGCTCCCAATAGTGCTGATGAGGACTTCGTCTGGGTTGGTTGTGATTCTCCATTTCTTTTCCCACCTGGCTGTTCTATTTAGTTCTTCATTCATTTTCTCTATTGCTCTCCTATGCTTGTTTGTGCCAGCTGTAGGGGTGGAGGAGACAACATGGATGACGTCTGCAAATTGGGTGATGATGGTGTCGGTGTGTTCAGGTTGGGGGAGGTTGTTGACGTATATGTTGAAGAGGATGGGGCTGAGGCAAGAGCCTTGGGGTACTCCTGCTGTTGGTGTGAAGGGGGTTGATTCTGCTCCGTGGAAGGTGGGGTGATTCTTCTTCCTGTTAAGAAGTTGTAGATGAGCCTGAGAAAGGTCCAGTTGTGATCAGGGAGGTCTACGAGTTTGTAAATGAAGCCGTCGTGCCAAAGGCTGTCGAAGGCCTTGTGCACGTCCCTGGTGGTGATAAGGGCCAGGTTCCCTTGCTTCTTCAGGCTGGCCACGGCATCAAAGATGATGTTTATGGCATGCTGAGTGCTGCGGCGGGACCTGAAGCCGAACTGCCTTTCAGAGAATAGGTGGTTGAACTCCATGTAGTAGTCGAGTCTGTTGGAGATTATTCTTTCGAAGACTTTGCCTGTGACTTTGAGTAGGGAGATGGGTCTGTAGTTCTCAGGGTTGCAGTTGTCCTTCTTTGGTTTGGTGATGAAGATCATCTTAGCTGTCTTGAAAGCCTCTGGGAAGTGACCCAATGCCAAGATGGCATAATTTCTTTTGGGGGATTTTCTTTCTTTTTGGGTCACCCTGCCTCTGTGGGAAACGGCCGACTTGTTGAAAAAAAAAATCAGTGAATCTCGGGTGTTTACCATGCTGTTTGCTCTAGCTGGTGCTCAATTGAATTGGTGTTCCCACAAGGTACTAAGTGGTCCCATATTTTTTTAATACTGTGCACATTGAGTATTAAGACCCATTCTGTGCTGACCAGACATCTCAGGCCAATTGTGCGAAATTTGGAGGCAGGAAAAATTAAACAGTGATCTAAGTTTGGAGCGCTAGCGGTAAGAAAGTAGATCTGTGTTTGGACAGTTAAGGGGTTAAGAATACTAGTGGGTTGAATTGCGTATTTTTTTAATACAGGGAAAATCTTATGATTTAACAGAGTGATCCATGATACTATAGTACTGTGTCTTGGTGCACAGCATACTAACAGTATGAACTGTGTAAAACATTTTTATAGTCTTATGTGCTCTATGACTCGTATGAGTTTAGTGCATGGTTTTTAGTATAATAAATACAGGGCTCTTTATATATCTTGTTCAGGTATTTCTGTATTTTGTAATTATGCATTTGTCCCATAAAATACTTTACATGGAAATTAATTGTGAGAATTTAATATAGGATTCACTGTTAACCCAAAATATGGAGAGGACATTTTAGACCATTTTGGTCCATCCTGAACCATTATCAAATGTATATCCTGAACCATTATCAAATGTATATCCTGAACCATTATCAAATGTATATCCTGAACCATTATCAAATGTATATCCTGAACCATTATCAAATGTATATCCTGAACCATTATCAAATGTATATCCTGAACCATTATCAAATGTATATCCTGAACCATTATCAAATGTATATTCTGAACCATTATCAAATGTATATTCTGAACCATTATCAAATCTATATCCTGAACCATTATCAAATCTATATCCTGAACCATTATCAAATCTATATCCTGAACTATTATCAAATTTATATCCTCCAATTTGTGAGTTAATAATGAAATAGTTCATTCATGGTATATTGACTTGTATTCTCTCTCATACCATCAGCTTTGCATCAGTTAAAGCACTACCGACACAGTTAACTTGTGCTCAACTTGAAGCCGAGATCAAGGGCGGAACAATCAGCCCAGACTCCACGGGATCTGCAGGCTCTTCCACTCACCAAAGGTAACTGAAAGATTTTTCCTTGGGAACATTTATCAGTGCATCAGAAGTTATATCACGACCTAAAATCAAAGTAGGTTGAAGTTGACAAAATACTACAAATGTGTAATTGCATATGCAGTAGAAGAATTTGAATATGAAGTAGGCAAAATACTACAGATGTGTAATTGCATATACAATAGGAGAATTGAATGTGCTGTACTGGGGTAGGAGATGGGATTACTTTACTTGTTTATGGTAAATAATGTCTTTTCAGTAATCCTCAATCCAAACGAACACGGAACTATAAGTCTGTGAATTGCAAACTTGAACTGACAAATAGGTGTGCATCTGACTCAAGAAATCAAGTTAATGTAGACCAAACACAGCTCAATGGACCCATGACACCAGGGTAAGGGCTATACATTGTTAAATTTTTATGTTTTCGATACTTAATGATTAATATATATTTTTGCAAAATTGGGAAATACAGTAGCTGTTTTTATAAAAATAGATGCTTTGCTATTCAACCTATAGCCGTTTTATAGGATAGTCTAAAGATCACGAAGGCACACAATGGTATCCTAGTCATACGTGTTGTTGGAGTGTGGGCAAGGTAACGTTGATGAAGGAATTCAGGGAAATTAGTAAGCTAGATGTAAGAGTCCTGGAGGTGGGAAGTGCAGTGCCTACACTCTGAAGGAGAGGTGGAGATTTGCAGTATAGAGGGCCATTTGAGTTGTGATGTTTACATGCTAATGGCAAAGCAGTTAGGAATGAATAATGACTATCCTTTCCTTTTTGGTCATTCTGTCTTGGTGGAAGACAACTGGGACATTAAAAAATAAATTTGATGCAGAAACTGGTCTCTTCTCTTGAGATTACCAGGGGAAATTTGAGATTGGTGGAATTTATAGTTTACAGGCTTAAGCTGGGTTATCTACTACTATGTTAATGTTAAAAAAAGGCCAATTTATTTTAATGGAAATTTCTTAAACATTTTCTTTCTTTCAACGCACCAGCCATTTCCCACTGAGGTGGGGTGGCCCAAAAGGAAAAACGAAAGTTTCTTAAACATATCCGTGCCATTTTATATTGAATTTATTTATATTTATTTATATTGAATTTCATGAAGCACTAAAACCATGTGGATAATTGAGAACAAGGCATGGTAAAGGCTTAATCCCTCATCTGCTAAATCATAGGCCTATTTCAATATGATGAGGCTGTTGATAATGGCTTCAGACACAGGTAGCAAAGTACACCCACTTTTACAGTGAATTTTAATGGTATTAATGATGTTTTAATATCCTGGCAGAGTAAGTGCGGCAGACATTGCAGAACTGAGAACCTTGATGATGACCTGTGTGAACCTCAATAGAGAACAAAACAAAGAAGCTGCATCTCAGACCCGCATGTTAGCTAACAAACTGGACAAAGCACTACAACAAGTCAATCAACTAGCCAAACAGTAAATGCCAACTTCTGTTTTCATTATGTACTTTAATATCACTCTGTTTTGTTATTAATAATACATTCTCACTTTTTGTTCTGGCTGTGTATATATAAAAGTCACCTTCTGTACTATTTGTATGCTTTCTTGTTTATTATTGGTTGGTTTTAGTGTCATTTATAAATATGAAAATGAAAATGTACAGTGGACCCTTGGGTATTGGTCGTAATCCATTCCAGAAAGTCGGCCAAAAACCGAAATGGCCGAAAACCGAAATAATATTTCCCCATGATGGTTGGGGATTTCAATAAAGTGGGTAAAAATGTTATGGAGGGAGTAGTAGGTAAATTTGGGGTGCCAGGGGTAAATGTAAATGGGGAGCCTTTAATTGAGCTATGTGTAGAAAGAAATTTGGTAATAAGTAATACATATTTTATGAAAAAGAGGATAAATAAATATACAAGGTATGATGTAGCACGTAATGAAAGTAGTTTGTTAGATCATGTATTGGTGGATAAAAGGTTGATGGGTAGGCTCCAGGATGTACATGTTTATAGAGGGGCAACTGATATATCGGATCATTATTTAGTTGTAGCTACAGTTAGAGTAAGAGGTAGATGGGAAAAGAGGAAGGTGGCAACAACAAGTAAGAGGGAGGTGAAAGTGTATAAACTAAGGGAGGAGGAAGTTCGGGTGAGATATAAGCGACTATTGGCAGAAAGGTGGGCTAGTGCAAAGATGAGTAGTGGGGGGGGGGGGGGGTTGAAGAGGGTTGGAATAGTTTTAAAAATGCAGTATTAGAATGTGGGGCAGAAGTTTGTAGTTATAGGAGGGTGGGGGCAGGAGGAAAGAGGAGTGACTGGTGGAATGGGGAGGTAGAGGGTGTGATAAAAGAGAAAAAGGTTGCTTATGAGAGGTTTTTACAAAGCAGAAGTGTTATAAGAAGAGCAGAGTATATGGAGAGTAAAAGAAAGATGAAGAGAGTGGTGAGAGAGTGCAAAAGGAGAGCAGATGATAGAGTGGGAGAGGCACTGTCAAGAAATTTTAATGAAAATAAGAAAAAATTTTGGAGTGAGTTAAACAAGTTAAGAAAGCCTAGGGAAAATATGGATTTGTCAGTTAAAAACAGAGTAGGGGAATTAGTAGATGGGGAAAGGGAGGTATTAGGTAGATGGCGAGAATATTTTGAGGAACTTTTAAATGTTGAGGAAGAAAGGGAGGCGGTAATTTCATGCACTGGCCAGGGAGGTATACCATCTTTTAGGAGTGAAGAAGAGCAGAATGTAAGTGTGGTGGAGGTACGTGAGGCATTACGTAGAATGAAAGGGGGTAAAGCAGCTGGAACTGATGGAATCATGACAGAAATGTTAAAAGCAGGGGGGGATATAGTGTTGGAGTGGTTGGTACTTTTGTTTAATAAATGTATGAAAGAGGGGAAGGTACCTAGGGATTGGTGGAGAGCATGTATAGTCCCTTTATATAAAGGGAAAGGGGACAAAAGAGATTGTAAAAATTATAGAGGAATAAGTTTACTGAGTATACCAGGAAAAGTATACGGTAGGGTTATAATTGAATGAATTAGAGGCAAGACAGAATGTAGGATTGCGGATGAGCAGGGAGGCTTCAGAGTGGGTAGGGGATGTGTAGATCAAGTGTTTACATTGAAGCATATGTGTGAACAGTATTTAGATAAAGGTAGGGAAGTTTTTATTGCATTTATGGATTTAGAAAAGGCATATGATAGAGTGGATAGAGGAGCAATGTGGCAGATGTTGCAAGTATATGGAATAGGTGGTAAGTTACTAAATGCTGTTTAGAGTTTTTATGAGGATAGTGAGGCTCAGGTTAGGGTGTGTAGAAGAGAGAGAGAATACTTCCCGGTAAAAATAGGTCTTAGACAGGGATGTGTAATGTCACCATGGTTGTTTAATATATTTATAGATGGGGTTGTAAAAGAAGTAAAGGCTAGGGTGTTCAGGAGAGGAGTGGGGTTAAATTATGGGGAATTGGGGAATCAAATTCAAAATGGGAATTGACACAGTTACTTTTTGCTGATGATACTGTGCTTATGGGAGATTCTAAAGAAAAATTGCAAAGGTTAGTGGATGAGTTTGAGAATGTGTGTAAAGGTAGAAAGTTGAAAGTGAACATAGAAAAGAGTAAGGTGATGAGGGTATCAAATGATTTAGATAAAGAAAAATTGGATGTCAAATTGGGGAGGAGGAGTATGGAAGAAGTGAATGTTTTCAGATACTTGGGAGTTGACGTGTCGGCGGATGGATTTATGAAGGATGAGGTTAGTCATAGAATTGATGAGGGAAAAAAGGCGAGTGGTGCGTTGAGGTATATATGGAGTCAAAAAATGTTATCTATGGAGGCAAAGAAGGGAATGTATGAAAGTATAGTAGTACCAGCACTCTTATATGGATGTGAAGCTTGGGTTGTGAATGCAGCAGCGAGGAGACAGTTGGAGTCAGTGGAGATGTCCTGTCTAAGGGCAATGTGTGGTGTAAATATTATGTAGAAAATTCGGAGTGTGGAAGTTAGGAGAAGGTGTGGAGTTAATAAAAGCATTAGTCAGAGGGCAGAAGAGGGGTTGTTGAGGTGGTTTAGTAATTTAGAGAGAATGGATCAAAGTAGAATGACATGGAAAGCATATAAATCTATAGGGGAAGGAAGGAGGGGTAGTGGTCGTCCTCGAAAGGGTTGGAAAGAGGGGGTAAAGGATGTTTTGTGGGCCAGGGGCTTGGACTTCTAGCAAGCGTGCATGAGCGTGTTAGATAGGAGTGAATGGAGACGAATGATACTTGGGACCTGACGATCTGTTGGAGTGTGAGCAGGGTAATATTTAGTGAAGGGATTCAGGGAAACCAGTTATTTTCATATAGTCGGACTTGAGTCCTGGAAATGGGAAGTACAATGCCTGCACTTTAAAGGAGTGGTTTGGGATATTGGCAGTTTGGAGGGATATGTTGTGTATCTTTATACGTATATGCTTCTAAACTGTTGTATTCTGAGCACCTCTGCAAAAACAGTGATAATGTGTGAGTGTGGTGAAAGTGTTGAATGATGATGAAAGTATTTTCTTTTTGGGGATTTTGTTTCTTTTTTGGGTCACCCTGCCTCGGTGGGAGACGGCTGACTTGTTGAAAAAAAAAAAAAATTAACCCGTTCCGGACAAAAATATTCACAAAAAAAAAAAAAATAATTTTTTTTAAAAATTATGTAAATATTGCATACTTTTATTGAAGGCTAATACTGGCTTCTGGAAGATAGGGAGGAGGAAAGAGGGAGGAGTTAGTGTTTGGAAGGAGAATTCCCCTTCATAAATACTAGGTAACAAAGCCTTCTCTGGGGTTACTTCCATTCTTTGTCTTTTAATGCCACTAGGACCAGCTTTAGAGTCACTGGACCCCTTTCTCACAAAATAACTGTCCAGAGTGCTCTGTTTCTGGCATTCTTTAAGATTTCCCTGAAGTGGGACAGGGTTTTGTCACTAAACATGTTGCAGATATGGCTTGTTTCAGCTTTGTCAGGGTGGTACTTCTTGACAAAACTTTGCATATCATTCCACTTTGCACAAATGTTCTTAATAAATGAAGAAGGCACCTCTGCAGCTCTTCAGTGGTTAGCTCTTCCCTGTGGTCCTCCACCAACTCTTCCACAGCCTCGCCACTCGCCTCCAACCCTAGGGACTTCTCCAGTGCCACAATAGAGTCCACAAGGTCGGCAGGGTCAGGGTCAGCCTCAAACTCTTCAAAATCCCTCTCTTGGACACAGTCTGGCTACAGTTTTCTCCAAGCAGAGTTCAAAGTCCTGGAAGTCACTCCCTCCCAAGCCTTACCTATAAGGCTTATGCAATGGAGGATAGTGAAGTGATTCCTCCAGAACTGTCTTAGGGTCAACTGAGTGTCCAAGGTCACTTCAAAGCACTTTTGAAACACTGCTTTTGTGTAGAGTTTTTTGAAGTTAGAAATGACCTGTTGGTCCATGGGCTGGAGGAGAGGAGTGGTGTTAGGAGGCAAGAACTTCACTTTTATAAAATTGAAGTCCCTAAACACTTGGTCTTCCAAGTCTGGAGGATGTGCAGGAGCATTGTCCAGTACCAGGAGACACTTTGAGTGGCAATTTCTTTTTCAGGTGGTATTTTTTCATACTTGGGCCCACAAAACACATCATTAACCCACTCTTTGAAAATTTGCCTTGTGACCCATGCCTTATGATTAGGTTTCCACATCACGTTTTTCTTGAACACTGGGAATTTCTGAGTGATACACGAGTAAAGGCTTCACTTTGAAATCCCCACTAGCATTACCACAACAAAAGAGTAAGCCTGTCTTTCATAGGCTTGTGTTCTGGCAGTGCCTTTTCCTCCTGGGTAATGTAGGTCCCGTTTGGCATTTTCTTCCAAAACAGGCCTGTTTCGTCACAATTGAACACTTGTTGGGGTTTGAATCCTTCAGCCTCTATGTACCCCTGTAATTCCTGCATGAATTTTTCAGCTGCACATTTGTCAGAACTTGCAGCCTCACCATGCCTTACAACACTGTGTATGCCACTATGCTTCTTAAATCTATCAAACCATCCTTTGCTGGCCCTAAATTCACAAACTGCAGCACTTGTTCCAGACATTTTCTTTGCAACATCCTCATGCAACTGCCTTACCTTCTCACAAATAATTGACTCCACAACACTGTCTCCCACTAATTATTTTTCCTTAATCCACAATAATAATAACTTTACCATCTCTTCCATTATTGGTGGCCTTTGTTTAGTTAGAAAAGTTACTCCTTTTGCAACATTAGTGTCCTTGATTTGTTCTTTCTTTGCCAGGATGGATTTAATTGTTCATTTATTCTTGCTGTACATCCTGGCAAGTTCCACCACCCTCATACCACTCTCAAATTTTTCTATCGCTTCACCCTTAAATTCCACGGTGTTTCCCACTTTCTTTACCACAAGAACTTTCTTTGGAGCGATGGTTACTTATTTCACAGTTGCACTGCAAAAATAACACAAACTACAATGGGAAATAAGCAAATTGTTTGGATGTATGAGCAGAAGCTTCCTCAGCCACTGAGAGAGACAGCCAAACTGACTCGCAAACGGCTGATCACCGAATTAACGGCCGATAACCGGGTGCTGAAAAACCAGCTGATCACCGAGTTGGCCAGTAACAGAACTGGCCAATAACTGGGGGTCCATTGTACTTGAAGTTGTATATAGTATTTTAAGGTAAAAACTTGCTACTGTTTAACCTGCCAGGGTTGAGGAGATAAAGTCAGCACAGTCGCAAGTCCAAATGGAGCTGCCTCGTGTTGTGGCCACATCTCTCAGGCCAGTGGTTGAAGCTACTCTGAGAAATGAGCTGAGAAGTGTAGTCTTGCCAGGTAAATTGCTTGATATTTGTAAAAATGTTAGTGAACTTTGTTGATGTTTATTGTAATAAAGCACAGTATTATCGATTCACTAAATTTTATTACTTGGGTAGAAAGGAGGTAGAAGTTAGAAGTGAGGGAGAGAGAGAGAGAGAGAGCAAGCAGGCAGTGAGGGAAATATGGAGACAGGATGAAAGAAAAGGAGTGCAAGACAGTGATAGAACAAGCTAAAGCAGAAATTCACCTATGATGCTTATACCTGGGTTAAGATGAGTGATCAACAACATGTAGGGTGCAGCACAGCCTGTACTCACTGCTATGCTGGTTAATTTGTTTTGAACTACAGTAGACCGTCGTTTAACATGGTTTTGTTTGTCACGTTTTAATTATAGCACTATTGAAGAATTGCAGCATATTTTTGTATAACACTGTAAAATTAATTTAACACAGTTCAGTTTGCAGGAGGGGAAAAATTTTGAGCATTGCCTACAGGATACACTCTGCTTGGCTGTGGGTTAGACCATTGAGTCAACGGGGGAGACCTACCGCCACCCTCCTCCTCCCCCACCACCCTTATCCCAGTCTTCGGTTCACATGCGTGTAGTACGTACCATCCTCTGCTAGGAGTTTAGGTCTTTTTATTGCCATATCTTAAATCTGCCAAGCAATCATGGCACCCAGTAGGCATACAAGTGTTGCTGAAAGTGGCAAGAAAAGGTATAAGCGTTTAAGTCTTAGAATTAATGAAGAAAATAGAGATATTAGACAAGATATTAGACAAGCCGTAATGAAGCGTCACTTTGTGTACATAAAAAGAATGAGGTAAATACGAGTTTGTGTGATGACTTACTGACTGATTTACTGACTTAGTTGACTGACTGTATTACTGACTGATTTACTGAATTGACTGATTTACTTACTGACTTAAAGTTAGACTATCAGTTGTATAATGTACTGTGGGGTGAATTAGAACAGAAATCCATTACAGAATTTATGCACACTCCGGTACAACCATCGACTTAAGTACCAGAACCTCTACCATCCACCTCAGCCCAGTAGGGCCACAGCTTAAAACTCTCCACAATCATCCACAAACACCAGCACCCATAATTTAAGATAAGAAATAATATTATTTCTGTTGCATTTTTAATCTTAAGCAGTAAAAACAACATGATACATCACAACAATGAATTATAATTACATATTCACTTTTATTTTTTATAAGATCTGTTGGTCTAAACAAAAAGCTGTTTGGCTTTTTGGGGGCTTCCAGTAATGTAACCCTATTTTTCCCATAAGCTCTTCAGTTTGTCTAAAATGGTTTTAACTAAAACGGCGTTTTCAGGAACGTAACTACCATGTTCAACAATGGTTTACTGTACATGCCAAAAAGAGGGGAAATTAATTTTGGAAATTTTTTTATTAGCATGCTGAAGAGGATAGTTTTGATTATATTGTTAATAACGTTAACCTGAATGAACTTCATTACAGTGCCTTGATGCCTTTATGTGGCTCATGATCCAACTAATTGGGCCTGTCCTTCCTTTCCTAACTGCTATCATAGAGAAGACAGATGATATTCCTTGAGATTTAATATAGACCTTGATGTCAAGATCAAACTGGTAGGCCAACTATAGGCTGAAGGGTTCATCCCCACCCACTCTGTAATATGGCCATGCTATATATATATATATGTAAAATTTTTGGTTTTTGAATGGATGAATGTTATACTGTACGTGCTTATAAAGCTTCGGAGTGAATTGAGAATACAAAAATCTAAAAAATAATTGTAGGTTTTTGTACCAGGGCATACTTCTTTCATGTAAATGTTTTAGAGTAAGCTAGTATAAAATAAGTCGTTGTAATATTGGCTGAGCATGGATCATATTGAAACAGGAGTTGTGAAGAGCATAGAGCATCCCCTGCAGTCACATGTTTCACAAGAGGTACATGGACTTCTTAAGACCACGGAAAACCAAGTCATAGATGCCATCTCCAAAGTTATTCATTCAAGAGTGAGTACTGAAATATTCACAAATTATGATGTTAATAATGGATCCAGAGTTCAAAAAAGTTGGAGGTCATAGATATATTGTTCTGGCATTTGTCATCTTTGCAGTAATCAAGGGGGAAAGATATCTAGCTATTTGTGTACTGGGACCTTGGGAATGGGGTCGAGTTAGAGTTGTATCATATATTTTCTTGTCTAATACTGTACCTACTTTTTTTTCTTGGCTCCAGTATAGTCTTAAGTGCTTGATTGTACCTTAATTCACCCTTATTTCCTTCCACTCGCTGGTCATTCATCTGCTGTGATACGTAATCACCAGACAGGTCATGCATGTCCAGCCAGGTCCAGTTATTTCCCAAGTTTTGTAGTGTCAAAATTCGTCCTCCTGAGTCATCATTGTTTTCTAGTATACACTTTGTCTTCTGCTTTTGAATGAATTCACAATACTCCATTGTCTTAAATTTATTGTGCAGGAATTGTGTGCTTGACTTGTTCGGAGTAGTGTTTTCATCGTATTTCTATTCAGATTCCTCCTTCATGGGTTGATAATTTCTCTCTTCTTAATGTAACTTGCAAAAATTCATATTCTTTCTTGAAGTGTGAACACTATTCTAGCAGTAGAAGTCACTGAAATAAATAACATTAATTACAATGCAATATGGATTTCTTCATGAGTTTTCTCTTTGGAACAGGCTGTATTTCTGATATATGTACTGTAATAAGATCAAAGGAATTTTATAAAAAAAATTAAGAAAATCCTCTGCAAGAAAATCACATTTAACAACAGCAACAACACAAGTCATTGTATTCCATCATGTGGCTTTTCTGCATCTAGTGTTTGGAAATTAAGTCTTCATCATGAAATTTGGTTTTGGAAAGTATAATCTACCAGTATATCCACAATTTTTTTTTTTTTTATACTTCTAATGAAAAAATTATGAGTTTCTCGCAAGTTAATGTAGATTGGAGAGAAATCATCATCTGTGTGCCTTCTCTACTGGTTGTTTAAGGTGTGTAAGAAAAATGGTGTAATGTTGAAAGTACCCTGATTCCACTCTGTTATGTATTTAACAGCTGCTTTTATACTCAGGTTCTTTATGCTATCCTCCTTTTAGATATCTAGTTGTTAGGAACCTAGAAGTACTGTAGTTGTTGTATAGATACAAAATATCATTAAGTAGAATGGGGATGATTTAAGCATCACACAACATATCACTCTCTTAAAACATAGATGCTTAGTCTCTTAATGTCTAGTACTGCCTCACCTGTCAGCACCACTTCTTTCAGTGCCCATCCTTATCTGTTGTGACTGGATACGGTACATATAAGTCTGTGTTGTGTGTTTCTCTATAAATATGTGAAGTTAAGATAAGCAAAATATCCAATAAAGACTCTGCCTGTCAATTATTTTTGTTCCCAATTTGTTGGCAGTTTGGTAGTCATTCTGATGTAGTGGTTTACGTACCATTTTGCTGCACAGGTTTGTCTGTTGGCTATTCTGCACATGTTGCCAGCTATAAATATTTTGCTGGGTATTGTTTAAATGAGAAGATAATGGTGCCAATGGAAAGACTTCCTAACATCCTTGGAAATACATCATTATGGTATGTGTATGGGCACATCAAACAGAAATTTACCAAGTTTACCATTTACAAATTGGTTAGTCTTATTATCAGGAGTATCAGATTTAATACCATAATAGTTTATGCAGTATTAGTACCTTATTAGTCTGTGCTGAAGTCTAGCATTATATTTATTGGCATATAAGACAGTAGTAGAGTTAATCGTGTAGTACAGTATCTTTAAGTTAAATTCTTGAATAAAATGTAGTGTGAAACTTTAAAAGCTGATTTAAGAGATTTGTGTACAAGAGAGTTCAGGGAAGGAAATTTTGATCTGGGCCGTTTTAAACTCAGGGTACCTATAATATTCTAAGGTTTGGGTTTGTCTAGGGGTAGCTTTGTACATGGAAGCTGTGAAAGATAACCTGGATTTGGATGAAAACAGGGTTAATGACACTTAATTTTTAAATCAAACATGTTTTGATAGGAGTATTGGTAAAAATGTTCAAAACAGTGCCTGATAAAGGGATGCTATACTAATCATTGTGCATTCAGGGTACAGTAGGTAGATAAGCAAATACATATAATCATCTGTATTATTTTGGGTGATGTAAAGCTAAAATTTATATGTATGGTATACATTCATAATTTGTATATCTTTGATTTCAGTCATTTGTGGACAGTCTTGGAGGGTCTGTTGGCTCAGTGTTGGGGACAACAGTGCAGAACTCATGCCGTGAAGCATACAATAAGTTACTTTTGCCTGGACTCAATGCACTTACTCAACAGATCTTTGCTCAAGTTAATGAAAACTTTAGCCGGGGCACTAAAGAATGTGAGTACACTACAATACTACAGTTTTTACAACATTGCATAAACTAAGAAATACAATCATTTGTTTGCTGTTTACTCTGGCCCTTCCAGGGAGGGTGCTTTGAGGCTGGTAAAGTGATCTTGATTCAAAGAATTTGAGCTACTCTCCTTCCTCAGATCCAAACATGATTATCCCCACCCCTCCCAGTCCCCAGGCACTGCATGGCCCTTATGGGTTTAGTGCTATCCCGTGAGTGTAATGCAGCAATATTAAAACCAAATAAAACAGGGTTCCTGTTACATGCTGAAAGAATAGGGTATGTAGGCCAGTATGAAAAAATTATATGTAATGTGAGCCAGCACACTACTGATAGTGACAGCCTGTTTGATCAGGCCGGCTGAGAGAGAACCCTCGAAACAGGTCACACACATGTGGTAAGTATATTTTTGAAAAATTTCACAGCAGTGTAGGAGACATTAAATTTTATACTAAAAGGTAAAAACTATAGGTAAGGTAGATCTGTATAAAAGGAAAAAATAATTACCATCTTTTTTTTATGTGAGCATTCGTTTTTAGTTTTAGCAGGGTAAGAACATGTCTGGTCTCGACTGGAAACCCTACTTAGTTTTTAAGAGTGTTGTACAATTAACATTAACAAGTCTGCTGTAAATATGAAAATTGGGTTCTTATATAATAAGGTCAAGACAGTTAAATTATTAAAAAATTTATTATGAGAAATATAAGAGAGAAATTCTGTACATCATGTTGAAGGTCACACAGGATGTTTGTTTAGTGAATAATATAAAAGGATGAGCACACAGATGATGATTATACAGTTTTTAATGTACTATAAGAATGTCAGGTTGATACCACATTACCAATATATCAGGATACATAGATTGTTTCAGGAGTGATTCTTCTTGATTTCTTTGGGATATACTGTATTAAGGATAGATAATAAGGCATATCCTAGGTAGTAGGTTGGTAGACAGCACCTACTCGGGCAGGTACACTACCGTCCTGCCAAGTGAGTGTAAAACGGAAACCTGTAATTGTTTTAAATGATAGTAGGATTGCTTGTATCTTTTTTTTTCTTTTTCATAAACATGCAAGATTTCAGTTACATCTTGCTACTTCTATTTACACTTGGGTCACACTACACATGCATATACAAGTATATATACACATACAACACCCCTCTGAATTTTCTTCTATTTCCTTATTTGTTCTTGTTTGTTTCCTCTTATCTCCATGGGAATGTGGAACAGGATTCTTCCTCCATAAGTCATGTGTGTTGTAGGAGGTGACTAAAATGCTGGGAGCAAGGGGCTAGTAACTCCTTTTCCTGTATACATTACTAAGTTTAAAAAGAAACTTTCATTTTTTTTTTAAGGTCACTCTCCCCCAGTCCCCCCCAACTGGCAGTGGGATAAGACCAATTTGTTAAAAAAAAAAAAAAAAAAAAAAGGCATATGATAGTCTCAGACAACCTACAAGATACAGTCTATCAGAGGATTGTGCCCTTCACTGATACCATGGGGTATATGGGCTTTTTTTTTTTATTAAAGTCAGTTTCAGAACAGCTGGCTATGGTGCTTACATTAGGCTACTTGCTAAAAAATCAGGCCATAGTTTGGGTGGGTGTGGTATGGGTGGGAAAAGGACCCTTGGAAAGTCTTTGAGGCTCATGTCAGTTGTCGTAGTCTGCACAGGGAGCAATATCTTGGCTTTCAATATGTTTTTTATTTTACCTTGGCTAGAAATTGAGTCTGCCCTGCAAGCGTATTCCTTAGTGGCCACTGCACTTCTTTGGTGAGGGAATTGGGATAAAATGGAGGCATATGCCTTACCTAATGAAATGAATTGGCATTCATTAGGGTCACAAACATAGAGGATCAGTATCCATCTCGAGTCTTCTAATGGGTTTTTGCATATCCTTTGTCATTAACCTTGTTTCCATCAATGAGACTGCACACCCAGCTTAAGCTCTCTGTGTGATGGACACCATGGTTGTTGTGAGAAGTGAAAATGACAGTTTAAGATATAATTAGTGTGCTCCTTTCTTCCAACTTAACCTCATCATTGAGACTGCGACTTGTGTAGCACATCATTAGCTCAACAGCTCTCTGGGTATAATAAAAAGGTTTCCTTGTGATGTATAGAGATAACGTTATGATTTCCTTAGGCTTGGTGAGAAATTCTTGATATGTTTAAAAATTAGCATTTAATATCTTGATAGACAAAAGTATATTCATCATTATTTAATTCATTAATTTACAGATCTTCAGAATGTGGAGAGTGAGGTACAAAGTGGACGGACATCAGTGCAGGAAATGCTTAGCAAGGCTACTCAATCCTTAAACTCTGCCTGCTCATCCCTCAGCACACAATCAAAGTCCCTACAGGAAAATGTCACCAAAATGGCTGCTCAGCAGAATGTGTTAGTTGACTTGGCAATGAGTGCTTGTGCAAAATCTTTGATTATGTGGAGATAAAATTATGTATAGCATTTATTTGAAACACTAAACCTGTGTGTGTATGTGTCAGTCATTGCATGTTGTTAGGCATGATCCTTCAACTGCTAATTGCTAGTCAATACTACTGTGATGGGTTTTCCCTTAACTTTCATTAATGCAAGTCTTCAGTGTTACTGAGTAATTTATGTATGTTTGTTTATTGTGCCCTGTGTAAATGGTGAATCCCATTCATAAGAATTTTTTGTAGACTAAGAGTTGGTGCTAAAACACAACAAGCATGTGACTGATTATTTGGTTTGTAAAAAGAAAAACATCGGTGATGCACAAAGGTGAAACTGCATAGGCATGAGACTGCATGGGAAACCTTGAAGATTATTGAGATGATTGCTAGGCATATATAAATACTGGGGTGCATCCATCTTCCCATTTTGCTTAAATTTGTGAGAGAATCTTCTGTCCATATGTTAGTTATGTTTCATTTGTTGAGCAAAATATTCCTGCAATGTTTGGAAAAGTTTTAACTCTTTCAGGGTCGAGAGGCCCTCTCCTAAACTCGTTCTCAGGGTCGAAAATTTTTTGGAAAAAAATTATTTTTTCTTATGAAAAGATAGAGAATCTTTTCCCGATCATAATGACACCAAAAGTTTGAAATTTGATGGAAAACTTACAGAATTATGCTCTCGCAAAGTTAGTGGTCTCGACGGTGTTTACGCATCGGCGATTTCGCCCACTTGGAGCCCTATTTACGGCCAATTCCAGTGTACTAGTCAACAAAAATCATAACTATTTCTCTAGAACTCCATTTTTTTCTATCGAATGAGTACAAGAAACCACCTATTTACCGATCTCAACTATCCAATAAAGTGGTCAGAAATTAGCAATTTTGCCAATTTCACGCAAATTTCAAAAGATGCCAATTTCCAAATAGGGTCTAGAATAGACAAGACAGACATTCCTGGCACTAAAATAACATTTCCCCTGTTCATTAGTCACATCCCCAGGCCCCTCTTACATTTCTTTTGCTTTCCACTTTGAATTTTTATTCTCACAAAAAATAGAAGATTTACTGTTATGCAGACTACTGCATTAGTGTAGAAATGGTATAAATAGTTTCAGCACACTTGTGAAAGAATATTAGACTCGCCAGTTGATGTGTATTGGACACTTGGAATGATTTGTTTACTTTTGAACTTTGGCAAAAATCGAACATTTCTGCTACTTTGAGCTCAATTTCAAGGTACTTTTCATTGTGAAACCAATCAAAATCATCTCAATTTCTGTAATATGTCATCCATTTTATTAAATGAGACCAGGAAAACTAAAATACTACCATAAATACCATATGAAAATACAGTGCAAAGTCGCTGTTTTAAACCAGAAACATGGTCAAAGTTTTTTTTTTCTCATTACGCACTGTGTGCTGCAGGATTTTTTTTATACTGTGCACACTGACCATAAAGACCCATTCTTTCATATGTAGGCCTACCAGCTTTGTCTCGCTAAATTTGAAGGCGTTAGAATTTAGGCGTACTAGTACGTCAATAACCCTGGTGTATAAGCCATACGAGTACGTCGGAAACACTGAAAGGGTTAACTACATATACAGGGTCCATCTATGGGAGAGCCCCATTATACAGCAGGTTAGGTTCCAGGCTACTGCTGTCAAGTGAAAATCACTTTAAGGTGAATCATAACCTTTTTTCACTTTCAATTGCCTATAAAAGCCTGATAACATATTTATGTTATCATATATTAAGTGAGCAATATAGTTAGGCCTAAAAAATTTATAAATAGTGCACGTGGCTTACCTTAAAATATTTTTGTCCTTAGCTTATAGCGAGTGGTGAATATATTTATTGTAGGAAGTTGGAATAAGTGAAGAATGGGTATAATTGAAAACTGGTGTATGAGCACAACACTGTAAAGCGGGGCCTGCCTGTAATAGGAAACTGAAAAGGCAGTTATTTATGAGATGTCATTGTTTTGTTTCAAATCACTTTATGCAGAGCAAAAGGGTAATGTAAAAACAATTATAATTTTAAAAAGTACATAGTTACAAGTTGCAGGCTACAACTGTTATGCCTTTTGCTTTTGCTTGTGAAAGTTTTCTAATTATAGACTATCACGTGTCATTTTTTCCCATCTTACGCCTTAAGGTAGGGGCCCCTAAATTAATTTAGAATTTAAAATTAATTGGCAGAATCAATAGTGAAACCAAATACAGCATTTTAATCCTAGGGGTTATGAAGAGTATTTTTCAGAGAGCAGAACAGAGCATGGGTTGTTTTGGTGGTTTGGGCATTTAGATATAATGTAGTAGAATAATGACTTAAGAGGGTTTATAAAATGAAGGTGGAAGGAAGGAGGGGTAAGGATTGTCCCAGGAAGAACTGGAGGTAAGGTGGAAGGAGGCTTAAAGTGGTAGGGGCTTCGGTATCTGGCAGGCACGTAAGCATGTTAAACTGGAGTTAGTGGAGATGATTGGTTTTAGGGATTTGGCATGCTGTTAGAGTATGAGCAAGGCAACACTTATAGAAGATACATTAAACTGGTTAGCTGGCCTCCAGTATTGAAGGTAAGTACAGTGCTTGCACTCAACAGGAGGGATTGAGTATGTTACTTTTTAGGTCATTTGAATTATATATGATGTCTGTGCATTTCTAGCAAAACAGCTGTTGACTGAGTGATGGTAATGGGCACCTTAATGCTGGTGAAAGGTTCTTGTCCAAAGAATAGGAGCTACCCTCCCTTTCCTTCAGTCTGACCTGGTTATCTCCCATTTCCTGGTGCTGTATGGCTTATAGGTTTAACATTTCCCCATAATTATAAGAATTAATTTTCAAATAACATTTGGTTATTAAATAGGCTGTTAAATAAGGGTTTTACATTATATACTGTACATACAGATTCCTTAATGAGAAGAGGAGAAATTCATGTAATATAAATATTTACACATTGCAGATTATCAGAATCTCTCAGTGAAAGAATACGTGTGTTGGTACGGGAAGAGGTAACTCGTGCATTACAAGAGCACCAAGCTATAGTTGATGCCCGAAGTCGTGCTCACACACCTGCCTTAACACCACATGCACATAACCCCAAGGTGGCACAACAACAAGTTCAAGGACTCATTTCACAAGGACAGTTCAACACTGCATTCAAGCAGGTACATATTAATGTTTTATTTTTATTTGCCTTATTATATTTTTAATTTTTGTTTAGCTGCACTGGTATTTATTGCCCAAGAATGTCAGGTGGCATTGAGAGCCCTGAACTTACACTCTTGAAGGATATGAAATGGGTGTAAAATTGATTGAATTATACAAGTTGAAGTTATGTATAAATAAAGGAGATATAAATGAGTGTTGAGAATATCAAGCCAAGAACAAACTTAAAACAATTGATTAAGCTTTCATAAATTCAGATTTAGAGAGGATAAAGGAAAGTACTGCCTTATGAATAGAGTTATTGATGAGTGGAACAGTCTGCCAAATTGTCAAGGCTAACTTTATGGACAGCTTTAAAAGTAGGTTGTACGTATATATGAGTGAGAAATGGTTAGATTTAAGAAGGACGTGCCTTGGGCTGGTAGGCCTACTGCAGTGCTCCTCTCTTTATGTTAAGTTCTTCAGTGTATGATATACAATTTAAAATGTCAACCTATCAAAAACACTAAATTTGAGCTTAAATCCTTCACCTACATTTGAATATATTTACAGTATTCAGAAAGTCATTCTACAACGAGTGGTAGGTACTGCATTAATGTTATTATTATTGCTTTTGTTAGTGGAGTACCCTACCCGAGGGTTTTGCTTAAAGTTTAAGCAGGAACTTTGGCTAAGGCTATACATTATGATGATAAACTATATATCATAATAGTAGCAAATTGATATTGATATTAGCATAGTGGTAAGAATGGTAATGGTGGCAGTTCAGTAATAAAAATAACAGCAACTTTTCTTGCAAGAACTTAATAACTAATTAGTTGGAGTGCATTGTAAATCAATTTGATACTTTTTTTGGCTACTGTCTTAGCAATCCCTTTCCCCCTCAATGAAATGGTCGTATCCCACTGAGGCAGGTGACAAAAAAAGAAAAGTCTTGTTTTTTCTTTTTAAATTTAGTAATTTATACAGGAGAAGCGATTACTAGCCCCTTACTCCTGGCAATATAGTCGCCTCTTATGACACTTATGGCTTACAGAGGAATAATTCTTTTCCACTTCCCCATGGAGCATCTTACCAAGTTATAGGTATTAGAAATTATTGTATCTTTGGAGCTTCTACAAACATCATTTTTGGGGTTAATTTATCTTACCATCGTACAAGTGCTCCACCATACGAGTTTTTCAGGATACAAGCAGTCGCTCGGTCGATATTTTGTTTCTGGATACAAGCAAAAATTCAGGCTGTGAGCTTACCCCTGAAACAACTTTTTTTTTAGACCTTCAGATCTTACAAAAGTAAAAGTGAATATATAATTGTAGTTCATTGTCATGATGTATTATGTTGTTTTTACTGCTTAAGACTATAACTGCAGCAGAAATAATAGTATTTCTTACCTTAAATTGTGGGTGTTGGTGTTTGTCGATGATTGCAGAGTTATGCTGTGGCCCTACTGGGCTGAGGTGGATGGTAGAGGTTTTGGTACTGAAGTCGATGGTTGTACTCGAGTGTGCATAAATTCTGTAATCAGTTCTGTTCTGTTTTACCCTGCAGTACATTATACAACTGATGATAAGGCATCTCCTGCTCTAGACACTGTTTCAGGGTCCTCTTCAGTGAAAAAGTCTAACTTTAAGTCATTTAGTAAGTCAGTCAAATCATTCAGTCAGTAAGTCAAGTGAGAAGTCATTCAGAAACACTGGTATGCCTACTGAGTGTCATGATTGCTTGGCAGATAAAAGATATAGTAATTAAAAGATCAAAACACAATTCACAAACACAGCTAACTTGTAGGAGAAAAGTGGAACTGAACACGCAAGCTGGGATGGTGGTGGTGGGGGATGGCGGGAGGTTTACCCCGCTGACCCACAACTAGGTGGCCACTTGAGGTAGGGAATGGCCGCCACCAATTGTCACATAATGACATATTTTATTCATTCTAGAGTATATATCAGGTTTCTATGCTATTTATATTGTTGATTATGTCATATTAGATGAATTGTGATAGATAAATAAGCCTTAGAGTTGATATTAGCGTCATATTCCTGCCTCCTGAGAGCATGAATTCTGCTGGAACGGAGGAATGGCATTTCAGCTAATTTACATAAGGAAGATTAACAGCACATGAGCAGATCGGGATACGAGCAAGGTCACAGAATAGATTAAACTTGTAAGCCAAGGTTCCACTGTATTGGTATTTTTCTTACAGGCACTGTCTGCATCTGATCTGAGCCTTGTAGTGTTTGTTTGTGAGCGTGTCAACCCACAGCAAGTCTTCAACATGACTCCATGTCCCCTTAGTCAAGATGTTCTTCTCTCTCTTGTCAACCAGCTTTCTCATGACCTGTCAACTTTCACAGATCTGAAGATCAAGTAAGTCTTTCTTTCACTTATTTCACCTGGAAATTTGTATGCACATATTGTATATAATGCTTTATAGTGATACACTTGTTAATATTGTGCTGATATTGGAAGAACTTAGCTCTGCTTCTGTAGTTAAATAGGTAAAAAAAAAACCAAGATAATTACGATAGATAAAATAAAAAGATAATTATACAATTTTGTTGTCGCTGGTCACTTGGAACCTGCTTGAGAATTTTTATCGTGTCTAGCTTAAAAGTTTTGGTTATACCTGGAGTATACCTGGAGAGGGTTTCAGAGGTCAGTGCCCCTGTACCTTGGTCTGTGACCATGCCTCATGGTGGATCAGGGCCTGATCAACCACACTGTTACTGTTGGCCGCACTTAACCCAACGTACGAACCACAGCCTGGCTGGTTAGGTACTGGCTATAGGTGCCTGTCCAGTGCCTTCTTGAAGACAGCCAGGGATCTATTGGTAATCCCCTTTATGTATGCTGGGAGGCAGTTGAGCAGTCTAGGGCCTCTCACACTTATTGTGTTGTCTCTTATCGTCCTAGTGGCACCCCTGCTTTTCATTAGGGGGATGTTGCATCGTCTGCCGAGTCTTTTGCTTTCATAGGGAGTGATTTTCGTGTGCAAATTTGGTACTAATTCCTCTAGAATTTTCCAAGTGTGTATAATCATGTATCTCTCCTGCCGGCATTCTAGGGAGTACAGGTTGAGGACCTTTAAGCGTTCCCATTAATTGAGGTGTTTTATCGCGATTATGTGTGCTGTGAAGGTTCTCTGTACATTTTCTAGATCAGCAATTTCACCTGCCTTGAAAGGTGCTGTTAGTGTGCAGCAATATTCCAGCCTAGATAGAACAAGTGACCTGAATAGTGTCATCATGGGCTTGGCATCCCTAGTTTTGAAGGTTTTCATTATCCATCCTGTCATTTTTCTAGCAGATGCGATTGCTACAATGTTGTGGTCTTTGAAGGCGAGACCCTCTGACATTATCACTCCCAGGTCTTTTACATTAGTTTTTGTTCTATTGTGTGGTTGGAATTTGTTTTATACTCCGATATAGTTTTAGTTTCCTCACGTTTTCCATATCAGAGTACATAATTGAAATTTCTTGTCATTGAACTTCATATTGTTTTCTGCGGCCCAGTTAGAGATTTGGTTGATGTCTGCCTTTAGTCTTGCAGTGCCTTCAATGGAGGACACTGTCATGCAAATTCAGGTGTCATCTGCAAAAGAAGACACCTTGCTATGGCTTACATCCCTGGAGAAAGACTGAAAATGTCAGTAATCATTGACATCAGGATACCACAAGCATAGCTTTATTGCTGTGTCTACAATGTGAAAATAGTTAATAGCTAATTTTATGTACAGTTGGCCAACTATTTAGACGGTAGTTGTATTCCTGAACACTGCATGTTGTTATAAAAAAAAATTGCCTAAAATGACTTTAGGAGTATATGGGCAATGTAGGATTATGTTCATTAGACTCCCAAAAAAGCCAACCAGATTTTTTTTAAGCTTTGCAATTTGTTAAAACTCAAAAATATTCAAGTTTTCTATTCACTATAGTTGTCATTCCTTGTTGATATGGAAATGTGTGGGGAGGGTTGATGTGACCCTGTACAATATCTATGCAATATAACAGGCAGTTCCATAGCTATTACCTTCCATAACTATCAGCTGCAAACATCAGTAAAAATACCATATTTTACCAGCAACCAGACAATATTTTTACTAAATAAATTCTTCTTTCAATAAACAAACCGGCCGTATCCCACTGAGGCAGGGTGGCCCAAAAAGAAAAACGAAAGTTTCTCTTTTTAAATTTAGTAATTTATACAGGAGAAGGGGTTACTAGCCCCTTGCTTCTGGCATTTTAGTCGCCTCTTACAACACGCATAGCTTACAGAGGAAGAATTCTGTTCCACTTCCCCATGGAGATACTAAATAAATATGCTCAGAATAATACCCACTATAATATGAATGCAAGCTATCCAGGAAATATGAAAAAATTATAAAATCACAAGAAAAGCTTCTCTGGCTCTCAGCACATGTTATTGTTGGGGTTAAATTGTGATGGCCCAAGGGTTGTACTGTCCATCTCACTGCTGTGAAATTAACTACCAGAATGCTTTTGTAAATATAAACTATTTAGTACACATGAATAAATTTATTACAATACAAAAATAAAATTATTTCCCTTTCATTTCAGTTATAAAAATAACAGCAAATACCAGAGGTTGGTTAGAGGCTTAGTCATCCTTGAAGCCTTAGTCATCCTTAACAACATTCACCACCACCACTATCCACCTCTCACACATATCCTTGTTTGTTTATAACAAATACAAGTGTACTAACTAAACTGATGCACAAATGTACATGAAGTAGGTACTATATACACATTACATCCAGGTTCCTTTATTTTTTTTAATCTTTATTATGCAAAAGAAGATAAGCAGAGGGTATATAAACACCAGTGGGAGTTCCCTCATGCACAGGTGCTGAGCCTGTCAACCCAAAATGTGGAAGTCATTTATTTTCACAGAATAACAGTTTAACAACTAAATAGATGCACAGTATACACACACTACTGTATTCACATTATATATAGTTTCCTCTCATTGTAACTGATTACTCAACTGGAAGGAAGCAAAGGATATATAAATCTTAGTCCTCCTCAATTTACATATAAACATTGTCTCCAATATCCTCACATTTTGGCACTGATGATGCTAAAGAATGAGTGTTCCCTCTTTTTGTGTTACCCTCTCTTGGCAGGAGACCGCCAGAAGTATGCTAACATCACAGTCCATATGACCCCCCAACTACAACATCCCCACATATCCTTTATATTTTGCTGTACTGTACCGTACATAAAATTTTTTTATTTACTGTATATTTTTCAGGTATTTGGAGGAAGCCGTTATGAACCTGGATGCAACTCATCCTGTAACTCGTGAACATATGCGACCAGTCCTCCAAGGCTTTCAGCGCAATCTACATACGTACCTATCTGCAAATCCAAACCATAAGAAGGTCAAGATGATTCTTATGGCTGTCAACCATCTTGTTGCCTTGTAAAATGGTACAGTATCAGAATGTAAGTTGCAAACACTTGTCCACACTAAACAACTGAGGTGTAAGTCACGTATCCTGTCTTTCAGGTGTAAATAAGTTGCTTTATACTGTTTAAATATTTAAACTTCTCTTACCCAGTGTATATCAGATGATTATCATGTATTTCGCTCATACTTTATGGGATATTTATAGTTAATACCTTTATTGCGTAAGTGGTCTGAAATAGTCTATTTTTTACTTGAATGTAGATTTAGACTAGCCCTGTCCTGTCATTGACGAATTTTGTTGGTCTTCCCACCTTCATTGTTGCCTAAAGGGATAATCATTGTAGTGTGTGTGATAGATTTATTATTAATGCTGTGGCATTTGATAATGTATTAAATCACATACTAAATACTTGAAGAAGGCAAACTTACTTTCTTAATCATTAGTATTACCTGTATTACCATATTATTTGCTAAGTGTTTATTCCTTTACGCTTGTTAAAATTATAATTAGCATGCAAAAAAGGAAGTCCATCCCTTGTTAAGATTCATCAAATGGAGATTTTGTTTTGTTAATGCACCTTTATGTACGGTCTTTGGAAGGATGCAGGGATTCTTAAATCAGATAAAAGAACAATCTGATTTATTTAGGTAATATTTTCTTACTCATACTTCATTGTGAGTACAGTATTAACAAGTCGTCTTGTTTTTAAAGTATGCATATTATACTGTGACAGACCTTTTAAAATGCATAAAAATCCCATATGGTAGTACAGATTTTACTAGTATTGTACAGTACATATTTTGTTTATTGAATTGTGCTTCCAGCACTTAAGAGTAAATATCTACTTAAAAGGTTGCTTCTACATGACATGCTGCTTTTTTTTTTATCTAATAAAGTTTATATCTGAGCTTGTTGAGTATAATATATGTTAGGGGAAGCTAATAAAAATCCAACTTAATAAATGCTGTTGGATTAAAGGTGCTGCTATTTATCCATTGTAACATATTTGCTGTTATGTTTACTGTATAACAATTATTAGCCCTCCCCCCCCCCCCACCCCACCCCTTTTTTTTTTAAGGAGCGGCCTTTTTGAAAAATTTGTCTAAGTTTTGTTAAATTGTGGTAAGTTATTTGGATTTTTAGATATTTCAAAAAAATCTTGAATAAAAAATTTAAATAATTTTCTAGTTGTCAGTGGTGAGTATGAAATACAGTATGTTTTTAAAGAAATATTTAGGCAGCATTTAATATTGATCTTCATTTTAATCCAATTTCTTTGGGTTGATGTAATTTAGAAGTATGATCCAGTGCCCTTCTCCATGTGTATTACATGTACTTAAAAATTGTCTATTTTATTGATATGCAACATTTATTTGTCAGTTTTTGCAGTCACAAAAGTTTCTTTTTGATTAATAGTATTTTTATTTTAATTAGATATGCTTTTAATTGATTTATGAGGTTCAGGCTCATACCTAATGTACCCACTCTGCATTGTGAGTACACATGCAGACTCTCATTCACAAATAACCCACACTTTGGAGGAAACATTTGACATGTTTGAGTCCATCGGACACATTATCAAGTCACAACACTTGTCTAGATAATGGTTCAGATCCAATGAAATGTCATCTAAAGTTACTTCTCCGAGTGTGGGTTATCTGTGAAATGTTTCAGTCATGGTATTGAGACTTGTGTTCTACATGCAGATGAACCATATTATTTGAGTACTGTACCTGCTGCCTAACATACATGCAGACTAATAGCATGATTTGAGGACATGCTACCCCATCACTACCATTTCTTCAACAGATTTGTTTGGGAGTGTTTGTATTCAGTGCTAGTCTTACTGAGAAAGGACTAAAGTGATGGTTGTCTGTGTAGACATTTTTGGTAATGATCATCATACCTGGAGACAATTAACAGTTTTTCAAGATGACACTTTAATTAGGTAGTTTTAGGGATGTAAAATTTTCAGAAAATAGATTACAGTGGGTTGTTTAACAGCTTAATCAGTAAGACCATTGACAGCAATAACTAATGTGCACTGCTATTGAATTTAAATATTTGTTTAAAATAATTACATAAGCTAGTTGGACAGTTTTTTTTTTTTTTTTTATCTTACTCTCCAGCTTTACTGTATACCATACCATTATTATTACATTCATGAAGTGGATGGGGGACATGTTAAGCCCATGCCAATTAAGTTATAACCTTGTAACCTTTAACAAGAAATTTATTGCTTATTTTGTATTTTAAGGCCATATTGCAGCAACATAGGTAATGAATCAATCATTCTGTAAAAGTATGCAATTTGTAGTCTTGAATTCAAATTGTTCAAAATCATTCATATTTAGGCCTGTATTTCTTTAATTGCCCCAGAATGCTTTAGATACTGATGTAAGACTTGGCTGCAAGGTCAATGACTTTGGAACTGTATACAGGTAGCCTGCAGGTAGTGTACTATCATGAGTATGTAGGAAACATTAAGAAAGAGGTCTGCAGGTGCCTTCCCTGTCACACAGTAGAGAATTGAAGGTGCAGTTATTATTAAACTTTTCTTTTCTTTTAGTCACATCCTAAAAGGATAATTTCCTTTTTAGAATGATGTCATTAAGTTTCTTGTAATATGCCAGTGTCTCATCGTGGAAATTGTATTTAGTGTTTATAATGATAAATTCAAGGCTGAATTTAGTTCGTACTGATTATACTCGAATATTTAAATCTTGAAAGTGTTTCTAAGAAGGCAGTATTTCTTTTTTTAAAATGTTGAATGTCTTGGTTATATATATATATTAGTGTAAATGACTGAATATAAATGTCATTAGTGTACAGTGGGAAGTGTAGAGATCATTGTGTCATTAAGCCTTGGTTACCAGTCTTGAACATACAGGATGTTCCATCTTCAGTCATTTTCATTGGTCTAATTTACTAGAAACCTATATTAGAAACATTGCATCTTGTACATTAAAACTTTATTTGAAAATAATCGCAGCAAAGCTGCAACTGAGCTGATTTTTTAAGGGTCAGGGTATTTTTTTTTTCCTGCCAATGGACAAGTGCTTCTTTGCATGATCATTATTTTTGAGCTTGCTCTTCATTTATATGTAAAATAGAAATTATAATGGTTTGTATATATATGTGAAAAAATAATTAAGCTTTGGATAAAACGGGGAAACTGGTTTCATACCAGGTTACCCAAATCATTATTTCTGTACTTCTTTACATAACTGTCTTGTATCTGGAGATGTCATATTTGTTTTTTATGATTAAGTTAATTATTTAATCAGTCATGTTTTCTTATCCTGTATTTTACATGCGACCCTTAAACACGAGTTTCTCTGGCAAAGGGGCTCTTAATCTCAGGAATTGGACCTTTGATCCCCAACCCTCTTATCCATTGGACCTGTTGTGAATCGTGTCGTGGGAAACTGTTAAATTTGTAGGGAAAGGAAGGCATTCAAGCTATTTAAGGAATTGGAGCACAGGTCCAGTTCCTAATATAAAAAGCCCCTCACCAGCATTGAGGAACCTCCATTGAGGGATGTCCTGTTTGTGAAATCCAGCCTATTAGCACTTTATAATCCAGCTGAAAATTAAAAGCTTAACCAAGCACTAAACCCATAAGGGTCATCCAGCTGAAAAGGGACCCAATTCTACCATGTTTTAATGTAGCTTGTGTATAATGCTGCATCCTCCCCATGAATGTAATGCTATAGTGATATCACTACCAGGTACAATCAATCATCATACAGCATGCTAGGAGATGCAGTAAGGCCATCTTACAACTTAATCTAAATACTGTGGTATTCAGTTAATGCATTAGGTACTAGAATACCCAGGTATCAGAAGTTATTAACCATGGTATTAGTTAATACCAGAGGTGTTAAAAGTTTATAACACAGATATTAAGTTCATACCTCGGGTATTGTATTAATACCTCGGGTATTGTATTAATACCTGGAGTAAAGTTTAATAAAGGAGCAAGGCAGGGCTGATGATATCAGGAGTATTACTGGAGGGTGACTGTGGTCCTAATGTGACATCCATAGATATATAAAACTCCTGCCCTTCTCTTCAGATCTCAAATATCAAACTGCAATTATAATAAAAAAAAAAAAAGTGCTAAACCTACAAGGGTCATACAGTGCTGCTGGGCAAGGAAGGATGCAGGGATATTGGGTAGCAAGAGGGAGAGGGATGATTAGTAGGTCATGGAGTGTAGTGGGGCAGTGGATAATGCAGGGGTAGAGGGTAGCAGGAGACTGAGGTAGAAAGGGCTGTTAGGATTATTATAATCAAAAAGAAGTGCTAAACCACAAGGGCTATACAGTGCTGCAGGGCAGGAAGTGAGGGTATCAGGTGGCAAAAGGGAGATGGACGAGTAATAGGTTACGGAGAACAGCGGGGCAGTGGATAGTGAAAGGGTAGAGGGCAGCAAGAGATTGAGGTAGAAAGGACTGAGGGGAGTGCGAAAGGTATCATCAGAGTTTGTGGAGTAAATCAGTCATTGTCAAGAAGTCAATGAGAGAGTCAGGATTAGAGGCGGGTCCATCAGCAAGGAGGAAAGGTAAAGAGAGAGTAGTAGATCGGAGATGATGGAGGTCAATTCTGCGTGCTCGTTGATAGAGAGGGCAGTCTAACAGAATGTGGCTAATCGATACTGGAACTTGACACTTCTCACAGAGAGGAACAGGGTGCCTCTCCCTTAGATACCCGTGAGTAAGACGAGTGTGGCCAATGCGAAGGCGGGAGAGAGTAGTCTCCCAACCTCGGCACTGATGACAAGAAGATGGCCAGTAACCTATGCTTGGTTTAATAGAATGAAGTTTGTTACCGAGTAGAGTTGACCAACATTATTGCCAACAGGTGTGAAGGTGGGTAGCTATTACAGCAAAATAGTCCAGAAATGGAACACACCTATATGAAATTGGTAGGTCATGTACTGCTGACAGTGCAGCAGTGTCTGCCTGTACATCAACATGACCAGGGGCCCAGCAAAATACAATATCTTCATGCTTGGTAGAGATACGGCATAGCCAAAGTTGGATATGGAGAACTAGGGGGGTGAGGTGTATCAAATTTCCATATAGCCTATAGAGCACTAAGGGAGTCTGAGACAACCACAAATGATGACACAGGCATAGATGCGATATGAATAAGTGCTGCAAGAATGGCATACAATTCAGCAGTAAAATTGCTAGCCGAAGATAGTAAATGCGCTCGCATGACGCTGTCCGGAAACACTGCTGCGAATCCGACGCCGTCAGAAGATTTAGAGCCATCTGTGTACACTGCGAGGGCATGAGAATGAGAGTGGAAGTGGTCAAGAAAAAGAGAGCAGGAAGCCACCGTAGGCAGTTGGGCTTTCAAGCAAGGGAGTGAGAAAGAACAGACCCGAACAGCTGGAACTTCCCAGGGGGGAAGGGAAAAGTGAGATGCTACATGGACATATAAAGGTGGTAACTGAAGGGAAGACAAGAGCGAATGTAGGCGAAGAGAGAAGGGACGGAGCAAACGGGCAGCAAACAAATAATGTCTACTAATATCGGTGACCATTCTATAAGTGGAAGGATTGCGGAGATCGTGAGAGCGTACATAGTAGCGAAGGCAATGGGCATCACGGCGATCAGACAAGGATGGAACATTCGCTTCTGCATAGAGGCTCAACAGGGAAAGAGCGAAGAGCACCAAGGCATAAACATAATCCTTGGTGATGGATGGGGTTAAGGCTAGAGAGAGTAGCAGGAGAGGCCGCTGAATAGATCTGGTCACCATAATCAAGTTTCGATAAAATGAGGGCTGAATGTAGGCGAAGGAGAGTTCGACGATCAGCTCATGAAAGATGAGCAAGGGTTTTAAGAAGGTTCAGCTGGCTGTGACAAGTTGCCTTCAGAGAGGTAATGTGAGGTTTCCAGGATAACCTACGGTCAAAGAGAAGGCCTAGAAACCTGACTATATCACATTCAGGGATACGGGAGCCATAGAGGTACAAAGGATGATCAGAGATGAGTGTGTCTAGTGAAAGTATTGGTACTGAAAAATTTAAACCCATGCATGGTGGCCCAATTGGAAACACGGTCGACTGCATGCTGGAGAGAAACTGTAATGAGGTGACAGTCAGCGCCTGCACAAGCAATAGCGAAGTCATCTACATAGAGTGATGACCAAATATTGGATGGAAGAACAGAGGCCAAATCATTTATTACAAGGAGAAAAAGTGTTGTGCTCAGAACACATCCCTGAGGGACACCTTCAGCTTGGACAAAGTCCGGGGAGAGCACATTACTGACTCGAACACGGAAATGTCTGTCAGTTAAAAAGTTCTAAAGGAAGGATGGTAGATTGCCTCGGAGGCCTAAGGAGTGGGCTTGGGCCAAAATATTATACCTCCAAGTTGTGTCATATGCCTTCTCAAGGTAAAAAAAATATGGCAATAACCGAGTGGTTATTCGCAAAGGCATTACGAACATACATATCCAAGCATAGTAAGGGGTCTTTGGTAGATCGGCCCTTATGAAAGCCATATTGACTAGTGGAGAGACTTGTGTCTCTCTAAATACCACATTAAACGTTGATTTACCAGACATTCCATCACTTTGCAAACTGCACTAGTAAGAGCAATGGGACGATAGTGGGAGGCATCATGTCCCGTAGTACCCGGCTTGCGGAAAGGGAGAACAATGGCAGATTTCCACAGCTGGGGAATAACTCCTTGTGACCAAATAAGATTGAAGAGATGTAAGAGGGCTGTAAGGGCTGAGTGATGTAAATGTTGTAACATCTGAATATGAATGTTGTCAGGCCCAGCTGCCGATGATCGGCAAGCTGAGAGTGTTGCCTCCAGTTCCCGAAGTGTAAAAGGCACATTATACTGTTCTTCTCTGAGAGAAGAAAAATCCAAGGGTATCAACTCTCTGGCAGACTTTGTGGAAAGAAATAAGGGGCATAGCTGGAGCCCCCCGGGAAATACGGACCAGATGAGTGCCAATTTCAATGGCAACGTCAAGAGGGTTTGCTATATCAACACTGGTGACCTGTAGAACAGGAGCCGGGTCAGGAGAGTATTTACCACTCAATCTCCTCACTTTTTTCCAGACTGCACTCACTGAGGAAGCAGAGGTGATGGTGGAAACATAATCTCGCCAGCAAGTGTGTTTAGCATCACGGATGACATGGCGAGCGACCGCACACTTCTGCTTAAAATCAAGAAGTCTCTCATCGGTTCTATTGTACTGGTACCTGGCCCACGCAGCGCATTTCAAACGTACTGCACGAGCACAAGCAGGAGACCACCAAGGCACGCACTTCTGAGAATGCCTGCCTGAGGTTTGGGGTACAGAATGAGAAGCTGCGGTTAAAACTGATGTCAAGAAGAGGCGTAGGAGCTCATCAATGGAGGATGAAGAAGGAACCTCACTGAAAGCAGTGAGTTGCGAGTAAAGGTCCCAATTTGCCCGATCAAATTGCCAGCGAGGGCTACGGAAAGGTGGTGAATGTGAAGGAGAAGAAAGAATGATTGGAAAATGATCGCTGTCATGTAAGTCCGGTAGAACAGACCAGGCGAAGTCTAGTGCAGTGGAGAAAGAGCAGACCTCCACACTTGTAATAGAGCCAGTGAGAGGGAAAGAACCAGGTACAGAGACTGGAAAGGTAAAATGTGGGGGCAGAAGAAGGGAAGGAGGGGGCAAAGAAGATTTGAGCAAAGGGGATTTTTTGGACTTCTGAGAAGTAGAGAGGCGATTGGTAGAAGGTGTCGTACGAGATCTTGTCGATACCGGGGCTTGTGAGTGAGAGCTCGAAGATGTCAGAACAGACTGAGGTGTTGAAGTAGGGACGTCTGAGCCCAGGACAGCAAAAGAATTAGATATAGGAGTGACTATGGGATAGGTAACAACAGAGGAGGCTGCAGAAGATGGGACCCCAGAAGTGGGGGGGGCGTTTTGAAACACGAGAATAAGAAACACGGGGTAGTCTCCCTTGGAGGCAGAGATGAGAAACTGCCATAGCATAAGGAAGACCTTCTGCCTCTTTGAGGCAACGGGTTTCACGTTCATTTAAGTAGACCTGGCAAAGGCGAGAGTACAAAGGGTGAGCTTCATGACAATTAAGGCAAGAGGGAGATAGACTGCAAGACGTATTAGAATGGTCGTCGGCACCACAGACTGGGCATTCGGCTATAGATCTGCAATATTTCGCTGGGTGACCAAATCGCCAGCAATTTCTACACTGTTGCGGTGTAGGGATCACCTTTCGAACTTGTAACCAATGTCCTGTGACATAAAC